TAACCGTGCAACAATCACACTTCTTTTTTGCGTTGGTCATTTGCTCTTGCTCTGGAAGGCCGAGAACTGAACATTGTCCGTGAATTTTCCATTTCCAACAGTTGATTATTCAGTGGGGCGATTTTCTTCTTCCGAAAATCGTGTTTCCCGAAATCAACAACTTGTTTGTGATTCATTTGAAACGACATTTGCGAAATCAAGCAAAAGCATGAATGCTCAAAAGCATGGGCAAAACTCGAAACGTCAGGAGCCGTCGATTACGTTTGTAGCGAGCTGGCGTGCTATCCGCAAGGCCAACCGAGGTCCTTGCTGTACGTTTCTGTCAGTGTCGTTTTTACTCTGTCGATGCTATCAATAATTACCTGTCAACGTGAATGATCTGGAGAGCATAAATCGTCATTGATCCCAGTTAAACTGAAGTTGCGTTCAAAATTCACACCAAACCACACCAATAGTGGATAGCACGCGAGCCCCCGGTAAGGGTAGTCGCGGGTTCGAAGCTCATTTGAGGATCCGTGTTTTGCTCATATTAATACCTTCCTAATGCTTGTGCTTTATATCGTACTGCTCCGTGAAAAAAGAATATGTGGTAAATGAGAGTTAAGAAACTGCGAAGTCAATTGTTGTAAATGCCACGTAGTACGGTGTAAAGAAAACAGCTCATTAAGGAAGTGATGTCGTTCAGTTAATGTCATTCATTCTCGTCACTGCTCCATTTTTTACGTTGTTAAATATATAGGAGTAGTAACAGCAATGAGTGAGTGGGTAGTGAAGTGGAACTGATTCCCCTTCACTACGTGGCCGGCCCAACCCACCTAGGCTCTGGTTTGATCGGCGCTAATTTGTTACCAGACTTATCTTCGATTCTTCGTGGATAGTGAATGCGAGGAAACGAATGGAATGCAACAAATGGTTGATCCGCACAATGTAACAAATTTGGTGTCGGGTCATAAAGTTTAATAGTAAAACTAATAGCAATGGTGACAACCACCATCACCCATATCATATGTAGTCTCAATAATAGACTAGCTCAAGCGAGCACTGATAAAATTCGCCCGACTAGAATGAGTATTGATAAGACTAGCCCCACTTGGGGCACCAGAGCAGAATTGCTCAAAGTCCAGTTTTTTCAAGGAAGAACGTCCCAATTTTCCTACAAAGGTTATTATTTTTTACATTTCCTGGCGAGAAAGTAGTGATTAGCAGTTCGTTGGGCGCCTATATCACCTGCGGTTCCGTTAGTCATCGTGTAATCGAGTGCTGTTAATCCTCATTTACCTCCACCGCGTTGAAGAGTCACCCAGCGGACAAATAGAGCGCTACAATTTCGGTGTGATGCCTTCTAATTCTTCTCCTGCCTTTTTTTTATAGCGGGAAAGTGCTGATGGGAATTCCATTTCATTTTACCGTGGCATAAGATTGCTGTTATCTAGGATTTCGGATGGAAGTATCGGATCACTGCTGTCCTTGAAAGAACTTCCTGAAAGGATGAAGCACAGCTGCATATTGTAGTTCAACTTACGAACACTTCCCAACCACGAAGGAGTGCCGAGTCCTTTGGGGAGAGGCGCGATAATATTAAGAGTAATATATGCAATAATGTTAACTTTTTATTTACTGCCTATTACGATTTTTCCGGGCAGGGTATTATGTGTGGTACAACCACAATGATGCTTTGATGTTTGCAAAACTCCAGACCACAGGTTCCTGCGGTAGGAGCGAATGCGCTATTACCTTTTCCGGGGGCTAAGGCGTTCACCACTACACCATACTGCTCTTCGTTTCGCCCGTCTCTCAGCTAGTTCTATCGATCGGTGCCATCAGCAATCACCTGTCAACGGGATTGATCTGGAAAAACCAAATCGGCAACGAACCTAGTTAAGCTGAGGTTGTAGTCGAAATCACTGTGATTGCTGATACTGATCGGTAGAACTAACTGAGAGGCAGACGAAACGAAGGACTCGCATGGTGTGGGGGGTGAGCGCATTAAACTACGGAAAGGGTAACAGGGCGTTCGTTCCCCACCGCATACACCTGCGGTCCGGAGTTTTGCAAACATCTCAACATCGTTGTAGTTGTATCACACATAATACCCTGCCAAGGAAAATTGTAATAGGCAGTAAATAAGAAGTTAACATAGTATTATATGCAATAATTCTGTGTGGTACAGATATTTTTAAATTTTTCACTTATTATAAGCGCAAAAAATGATGGATTCCTTCACGATTTGATTAGGCGTCTCAGTTAGAGTTTGACATCTGCAGAACTGTTCATCGATGCTTGTTCTACGGGTTAGTGAGAGCACATAACGTTGGGTTTCTTCAGAGCTTAGTCGAGGTGTTAAGAGCATTCCTCGATCCTACAAGTCTAGAAGTTTTTTGAGTTCTACTGGTAATTGCTAACATGGAGTTACAAGAAATCTTAGCGTTAAACACACTTTCTCATTCCTAGATACAAGACTATTCATCAACTCATAATGGAATTCTTCCACTTTACATAACTACAAGTAGAGATCGCAGTGCGCTCGGCGTCAATCAGTCCTTGGTAAATTTGCCATGTATTCGATTCCATTCGTAGCACCGTAGAGATGATTGAACGCATATGTGTCTACCGATAAATCAAATCACTGTTTTTATTCTCCTCGACAGATGTGGTATCCATTTGGCGAGCCCGAAGGCACGGTTGGCCTGGTAAATCCGAAGAGTGGGATCGAAAAACGCCCACCTCTGTATAACAGAGCAGCATCTATGATCAGTGCACCACACTCGTGGAACTAAGACAGTTAATTAAACGTCGTCTAGATTTTGTTAATCTAGCAGCTTATCATGCGGTGATCCCAGTTAGTGACGAAATGTGTAGAAAATTTCTGCTGAGCAGTAAACCGTTGGGCAGGAAAATTCCAACCATAAAAAGTTGCCAGCGAATGGACAGCTATGCTCTTCAAAGAATTCTGAAGTAAATTCTCAAGTGATTGTTACATTCTCACTATTTTGACAGCAGCAGAGGCGCATTAAGATATGTACAACGGTTTCTCCATTTGGAAAGGTCGATATTTTTACTTAAAGCGCCGACGAAATGGAATAGATCAGTTTTGGTATCCTAGCTATCCGTGAATATCTGCTACTTAAGATATTTGTGCATCGTTGATCTCCATGACACTATGGCATTTTTGCTGATAGCAGCGTTACGAAGAAAACTAGCTTAGAGAAACGCAGAGCGAAGGCCTCCGTGGGGCAGTGCATAATGCGTGAGCCCTGGAAAGGGAAATCGTGGTTCAATCTGGCCCAGGGCCGAAGTTTTGCGTATTTCAGCATCGTTGTGGTTGAAATTCACATCATACCCTGCTGTAAAAATTACAGTAGGCAGAAAATAAAGGGTCAACATTATGACACTGTTCAAACCAGGTCTGGTAATAATCCGGATGGCATTTTGGCATTACAGAAAAGCATGTGGAAGGAATCACTAATCTCACATTGATCTATTATCCACACGTCTTATAATAGTGGAGAGGTTTGGTAGTTGCCAAAATTTGTCTGCAAGTTTTCTCGCCCAGCTTATGAGTTGATATCAGCAAAACAGGTTCTTGAAGGAGTCTGTTCAGTTCTCAAACACCTTTTGAGGGTAAGGAAATAAAAAATGTTTGAATAGTGAATAAACATCAAAAATTCTATTAGATTCCTATTTTTCGGCAACTCTTTTTTCTATAATCATAACTGCAATGAACTAGTCTAGTGGATTTATAACGCGTTAGCTAGTTGAGGTGTAGAGTTAGGTAATTTCTAGTAAACCCTGAAGGATCTCATTTTATAACAATGAAAAGATGAAAAAGAGTGAATAGAGTCAGAAGAAGCAGTGCGCAAATGAAATAAGTGGGATATAATATAATGGAATGAAATAACTGAGGAAATAAAAAGAATGAGTGTAGAAAAGTGTACGAAGAGGAAGTTATGGTTATGGTAGGTTTTAACAAAATTACTCCTAGAATGCTAGAAGATCGCACTATTTCTGCTGTTGGTCACAGTTACCTAACTGTCAGGTTTTAACTTTCACTCACTCCCTGCTCATTTTTCATGGAAGGATACGATGCGAAATACGACCACAACGATGCTGAGATATGGCCTCAAAACTCGGAACCTCGGCTGGGGTACGAACCCGAGATTACCTTTACCGAGACTCATGTGCTATCCACGACACTAATTGAGACCCTTGCTTTGTCTTTCTCTTGGCATAGTTTATACTCTATCGATGCTGTCAGCAATTACCCCTTAACCATCCTGGGAGCATAAATCGCCATTGAACCCAGGTAAGCTGAAGCTGCATTAAGAATACATACAGTATACATACATTCGACACAGCAAATAACACAAGCAGTACTGAAGTTCCGAAGTTTGCTCATTGCTCAGCATCCTTGTATCTGTCGACTTCTCGACAAATCGATTACCTTCATATCATCGTGAATCTGGTAACTCTATAGGTTACAGGAACTGGAAATTTTTCCTAAATTCTTTATTAGGCCTTTCGTGTCTTTGTGGAAATTTGAAATACAAAATTTTCATCTGCTCAATCGATCACATTAAAGGATTTTGAGGCATCATTTAGAGACTTTTACGATTTCGTTAATGGCGAATTTAAGAGGATAATTCGTTCACACGAAGCCAGTTAACATCGGCATCGCCCCTCTCCAAATCCACCCACATCGTTTTCAAAACCAGTTACGGTCTGTCTACAGTAAAAGTTATTCAAAGAGCATAGACAAGGAAGAAAAACCGGTTTCCAAAGAAATAATTGAAATAAGATTTTAAATAAATGAGTGGTTTATTTCATGGTAAAATGGGCATCCATAATTTCTTACTTATAGTTTTCCGGTTCTCCAATCAATTCCTATATTATTCTCAGGAAAAATGTGCATGGAGAAAACTATGTTAGGAAAACGTCGCCACTTCTTAGTTAAATATTCAGTCACCCATTTTTTAAGCAATCGTTTTGAATCCTTTCTTTAGGTTTTCGAAAAGTCGCATCTACACCTATATTGGGGAAGTTTTAATAGCCGTTAATCCATATCGAAATCTTCCCATATATGAAAAGGATACAGTTGAGAAATATAAGGTTTGTTTTCATAGGACTTTCTCAGCACATCTTTTTCTTTCGCTTTCTTCAGCGTTAATTCATGCTCGAATTTTCTTGTAACTGATAGAACTTCAAAAGAAAAAAAAAGACCAACAGGGAGCTTTCAGGGTCGCGAGATCTATGAACGGCCACCGCACGTGTTCGCAATCGCCGACAGCGCGTATCGTGCGATGAAGAGGTACGGATGGGATTCCTGCATCGTCATATCGGGTACCGCCGTATCTTTTCTCTCTTTTTCTTTATTTTTTCGTTTTTTAGCTCAGCACTAGGCTGCTGGGGCCAGCCATTCATATACGTCTGGTCCTTTTCTCCAAGAATAATTATTAGCTGCATATGTTTTCGAAACTCCCAACGGTTTATCGCCTCATCGTGGCTGGTGAGCATTCCTAGTTGCTGCGATGTACAGCGTGGGATTCATCCTCTGACAGGATCCCTAAGCTGAGAAGAAGTCTGGGATTTTCAACATGAAGCCTTGCTAAAAGTAATCCAACACCAGGCACCAGGATCCACCACCGTCTCGGCATCAAACTAGTCGCATGGTGGCAAACCTCCTTCTGATCCACAGGGGCCACGACTGCATGTGGTGATGAAGAACCCCCGAAGACTTTGGCCAGCAAAACTCCGAAGAATGGAGTTTATGCTGGGATGTTGAGACCCGTACAACCAGTGAAAACGGGCCATCCAAGTATCCAAGTAAGTATATGTTTTGCAAAAACCTGATAAATTACAATAACTTCATTTCTTCACAGTTCTGATGTTCTGACTAGACGGATGTTGTTAAGCTGGAACATTATATGAAAAATCTAGTTTCGCGTATTAAATTCGAGTATAGATCTTCAAAGAATATCATGTTTAAAAGTGCTGAAAAAGATTTTTCTTCCAAGCATCGACGCATTGAAATAAATGCGCTTTTTCACGACTGCGTCAAGAACGTTGTGTCTCGTTCATGGGTTGCTTCAGTTCAAACCTTTCTTCGGAGAATTTTGGAAATTAATCACAACTATAGATTCGTTAGAGGCGCGTGTAGCGTAGTGGTCGGAGGTGCCTTGGCACACACGTGGAATCGATCCCCGCGCCCATGGCCCACCAAGCCTTCCATCCCTACGGGGTCGGCAAATTGGTACCAGACTTGTTTGGAAGGATAGCAGCACTGGCTCGATACATCGGTAGGCCACGGTGAATAATTGTGAAGGCCAGTTATGCATTTAATCACCTCTAACCGTTGCTTAATGAAGTCGAATGCATGGCGCATCCCTTAGGGGTTGATCAACACCGAGGGCTTTATCCTTTATCCTTTTATGGATTCGTTAGAAATTATTAGCAGAAGTCGACTTGGAATAGTTCAGAAATGAAAGAATGCTCCTCATTCGGTAGAACAAAGTAAAAAAAATAATCGGAGGGCTGTATTTTTTCAGGAGAATCTGGTGCTGGAAAAACGGAAACGAGTAAAATCATTATGCGATATCTTGCCACCATTACGAATCAGCAACAACAGAAGGACATTGAGCGGTTAGTGAGAAACCGTTTCGATTCTGTAAATTTCTAAGCTCATTCTCATCCACACAAATTCCTTCAGATTTTTTGTTTTGTCTTAGTTAGCGTTCTACCGTAGTTGTTTTGATTATTTATGCTTTTATACATTGCATTAGTATTTTTGTGCAAAGTATAACTATCGATCAGCATGCAACAATTCATCGTAATTACTATTGGTTAAAATCATCAGTAGAACTAGCTGAGAGACAGGCGAAACGGAGGACCCGCATGGTGTGGTGGTGAACGCGTTGCTCCCCAGAAAGGATAATAGCGCGTTCGTTCCCTACCGCAGACACCTGCTGTCTGGAGTTTCACAAATATCTCAGCATTACAATAGTTATATTTCGCAAAATACCCTGCCGTTAGAAATAGTAGGCAGTAAATAAAAAAGGTTAAGATCAACAGTAGGCCTGCAACACACACGTGGAATCGATCCCCATGCCCATGGCCCACCAAGCCTTCCATCCCTCCGGGGTCTGCAAATTGGTACCAGACCTGTTTGCGAGGTTAGCAGCACTGGCTCGATACATCGGTAGTCCACCGTGATTCACCGTACGGGCCACATATGCATTCAGTCACCTCCAAACGATGCTTAATGAAGTCGACTGCATGGCGCATCCCTTAGGTGATCAACGCAGAGAGCTTTACCCCCTCCTTTTTTTTTTATTAAAACCATCAATATGTTGCTTTAATAACATTTACCAAACCGATGAAAAATGTGCTCTAGTGGTATATATTCGAAGGTTTCGAACCACTTTTTTGAAAATTCTTAATATCACTGCAGTTTTTTATCGATTCTCAAACTAACTATAACTCTCATTATTTAGTATTTCTATACCTGTAGGCGTTATTATTATTGTAGTTGGTCTTCTCCAACGATTGGTCATCTCATCATGGATAGGAAAGTTCACAGGTTTCGAACATCAGTATAAAGCGGATGGTTCATCATCAAGTATTTTTTATTTTTTATTATTTTATTTGGCCCGTTTTCACGTCTACTGTGCGTATCCTAGCACTTCTCACATTCGATTCGTTTCCTCACATCCATTGTCCACGAAGATCTTCCACTTTACGTGTAGCTTCAGATGCTGCTTGACGATTTTCATTTCATCTTGAATGTCGTAGAATGCTGTTCGAGCAATTCTCCCTGGAGTCCTGGGATAGCCAGGTTGGAACATTCTCAATTGGATTGCAGAGAGTTGTTTTTCCCGAACAAGCCAAGTACCAATTTCCCTCTCCCGGAGGAGTGAGGAACATGGTTGGCCCGCTGCGGAATCGAACTAAGACCTGCTCGTGATAGCGGGCATCACTACCACTGTGCTATCCCCCATCCCTAAGCAGGATCTCCTAAACTGAGGAGTTCGACACTTTCGTCAAAATCATTAACAAGTTCCAAGAATCTGCTATTTTGGCAAGAAAATATCCATTAGTTCGAAAGTGGTGGTGATATGTGGAATCTCCGCAAAGTGTTTCGAGACTCCAGGAAAGAAAGTATTGCGTAGTTAGCTAAGTATCAGACATATGGAGGTAGTCTTAGACCTCGCACAACCCTTCATGATTTAATCAATGTGTATTCTTTCTTTGATGAGCTTACACGAGGTTGATAATTATATCTATTTTCGGCTAACGTTTCGACGTCTTCGTCTTCCTCAGAGCCGATCTTCGCCTTTCGCCTTTATGATTTATAAGGACTGGGTATTTAACTATGAAGTACATGTTAGTGCTGATTGGGTGAAAAGGACAAGGCCTCAGTCAACGATGTGCAAAACTCGTCTATTTCTCGCCTTTCTATCCTCTTCTACCCTATCGGCGTTAGTTTTAAGCTTTTTCGATTTACATCCATCTGCCATCTCATTTGCATGTGAGACAAGCCGGTGTCTTCTCCACTTCCCTCTATGGGGGTTGGATCTGAGAGCCCATTTGCAGGGATTCCACGAAGCAGTCAATCATACGTCAGTCGTACTATGAAACGATTACAATTAGTTACTTTATTTTCACGAGCCGCACGAGCCTCAGAACGACTGCTATTTTGATGGATGAGACTTATTGGTTTTTCACCCTGGGCAGCTGCGGGAGGTCTCGTAGGCCGTCACAACAAATGGAGGTTTTACCGGCTTGCGGCTAATTCCTTCCAAAAGGTGGCAATTCCTGGCAATCGTTTACTCTCAACATGGTTTCCGAACGAAAATGTCGAACGTTTTAGCCAAGGGAACGCTTTTCGGGAATGGACTACCCACTGTTCATCGCAGTACGACATCCAGGAATGTCTCTTTGCTACGATAGCGCTTAGCGCATAGCGCGAAAAATTAGGCTTAAAGCCATTGAGCGAACTAGCGCATATTATTGAGTGTACTTAAGGAAGCGAAGCTTTTAACAGCGATATTAGTAAGTAAAAACTAGCAGTGTCTTTTTTATTATCTTAATCCTAATATACTTTCTATTTTTTAAATAGACTCATAATTTTTTATACTCTTATTGAGTAAACACGAGATTCTTTGTTACGGAAAAACTGACGTTTTGCCGCATTTCGCCTTCCTCAGAGCCTGGAAGTATCAAAAGTTACACATTTGTTTGTTCTTCAGAAAGAAATGGGGTTAGGCAATGCTTCGTTAATGTCTACTTTTTATTGCTAAATTTAACATTTTGATTTTTATTACGCAATTTCTTAGTGTTTTTCATTGTTCTAGAGTGGTGACCGTCCTCAGCATTTGATATAAATTAGCGCGATTTTAACATGACCGTAGCACCCATAACCCACAAAAAGTCAGCATTGCCACTCATACTCACTCTCCTGATCTGGGAATAACGGCTCCGATTCCATCTCCAGCAAATTGGAAACGCTGAGTTGGGGTTAAGAGCTCGAGGACAGTCGAAATGAGTCGGAACATCTGGCTGGGCTTTCAACGGGAAAATAAAGCGATACCCAAGCGTTCGGATTACGCGACGGAAACGTGCGTTCCGATCGGATACGTCCCATGTGATTGCATTGGGTATTTAGATGGTTTATTGACGATTTAATAGGGAAACGATGCTGGTCGTTTGAAAAAAAAAACTGACAAAGTGAGGATTGAAATCTACAGCTGAAACGAGCTGATAGATAAATAGATTGTGTAAAATCTCGAACTTTCTACCTGAGTTATCGTGTTAACTCAAAACACTCCTTTAAACCTTTTCTTCGAAATCTCACCATTATTTTATATAATTATTTTTTCCTCGATAACCCTAAGGGCTCCTCATTTTACATATTATTTGGCATCACAGTTAGATAGAGTTTATTTAAAGGAAAAGCTGTAAAAGAGGATAAATGTCAAACTGGTGGCAGAGTTCCGATGATCTTACCAAGGTTTTTGCTGCGACATATACTAGTCGAAGTCAAAGAGATGAACATTCAACTATTTTATGTCCAGTAAACATTGTTGTTTTCCCGACTTCTTTTCTTACTTAGGGTCGAAATCCTATCTGTGTTGATTGACCAGCCCGTTCTCGTTACCATCATCCGATAGTTTCCAATCTATTGCTTCTCGCTTCCATCCAGAGAGTCTCCTTGTTTCGTCTTTGTCATAATTTTACACATCTATTTGTTAAATTGCACTTTAATTAAGGTATATGAGTGGGGAATTTGAACCACTTAAGCCATATTTGCTTCTTCTCCATCTCGCTATCTCTCATTCGTGCCAATCACCGCCTGTTTCGATGAATGGGAGTGTTGGTGGTCAGAGTACTCGATATTGTCTCGTAATGAACGTATTTACCCAAATAGCATGAACGCCAGCAATTACTGACGTATGGGAAGAGCAAGGGGCGTGAAAACACCAGCAGCACTCATTAAACCGATTACTCAGATGTTTTGCGTCTTGTAGTTCTAGTAAGATGAAAGTTTTCAGCAAAAAAGATAATGGTGACGAGTTTTTCTTTTAGAGTGAAGAATATTCTATTGCGATCGAATTGCATTCTGGAGTCACTTGGATGCGCAAAGACAAATCGTAACGATAACTCGAGTCGCTTCGGAAAATATATGCATATCAATTTTAATTTTAACGGTGATCCTGTTGGCGGCAATATCACGAATTATTTATTGGAGAAGGTAAGAAATACAGTTTGAATGAGAAAAGAGAAAAAAAAATGAGCGAAAAAGGGAAGGACCATGAGCTGGGGATGAATTAGTACGGAAATCTCTGAAGTCGTGACGAGTTGAGAAAGACCCGAAAACTTCTTTTTACCCGAGAAAGGTTCCAATTTCTTCATCAGCTATAACAAACGAGAGCAGTTCTTGGCGTGTCTTTCCCTTACGGTTGGCGCAGTCATTCACATGGATGTATTTGAAGGACGCGCAAACTATAGGTATTGATCTTATGGGGATTTTCTCGCGCGTGGAAGCAGGTAGGTGCAACGATGATGACAGTACTGGATCACAGTGCTCAGTCAGATCACCAGCTTCTAGTTAACTTTTCTTCCAAATTGAACCCTTTCTCCGCTATCTTAAGCTGTGCCATTTAGCCTTGTGACTAGAAACCCCGCAGTGATGGAAATTTGTGGTCGCTCTGCTGGAGATTTACTTAATTTGAAAGAATGCATGGAACAGCTTTAAAACTGCTCTCATCCACTGTTTCCTAAGACTTTTTGTGGAAAAAGAAATACGAATGTTGATGAAATTCTCTTGCCTACCGATATCTAAAATGTATAGAAGTAATTTAACAATCGGTAACAATAAATAAAGGTGATGACAGGATAATATAGAAGTCTTATAGATGACGTCCGTAGAAATCCTTCTGATCAGGTAAGTTTTTTTTGTCTGAAACCAGAATGTGGCCTTCGGCGATAGTTTTATTCGGACTTTCTTTGTTTAACCTAGTGTCTAGTGTTTAGCAACCTTATTACCTCTGCTTGAAATTCTGGAATACGTAATAATACCTTTTGTTAGTGTAAGATTTACGAAATATTTAAGAACCAAATATACTTACAGGAGGGAGGCTACTAGTTTTCTACCTTTTTTAGTCGCGAGTTGTGAGACAACAATATGGTGAACGGAATTTTCACGTCTTCTATCATCTTCTTAGAGGATTTGACGACAATCGGCTGCAACAGCTTGGGCTCGTAAGAGATCCAAAACAATATTATTATCTGAATCAAGGCCAAAGTGATAAGGTGGTCTTTCGATCGATATAATTTTTTTACGTTTCAACTCTAGAGTTTTTCTTTCTATTCAAGTTTGTTCCTTTTTCCTGCTGTTGAATCACACTGGATTTTGGTTTATACTGTTTTGCTTTCTTTGAAAGTTCAGGACATTACTATTAAAATAGTTTGAATCATGGTATTCTGGGGAATAAGTGAAGTGACAACGAGACGCCAATGTTTTCACAGTTGCTGGTTCGGTTTCCATCTAAGCATTCCAACCCCATTTTCTGTTAGGATTTATGTTTTCTTTTGCTTCGGAATGAACAGAACACACATAACAGTTACTCATCTACTGTTCTCTTCATAGCGCTGTACATTCAGAATGGACATTTATCACGTTTTCTTATTTCTTTCCATAAACTTGCCTAGTTGCTTTTGCTTTTATAAACTCTTACGTTTTTCCTATACCTGTTGGGCAGTTAAGGCCCCCTGGTGTTCCGATATAGACGGGTTAGATTGAACGTTCTCGTTTCGTCGTCGAAGGAACCCACTATGCGCTTGTGTTTCATGGAAGAGGGGTGGTAATTTTTTTTTCTAAGACTTGCCAAAGTGGTGACAGAAAACCTTAATTGTCGTTTTTAAATCATCTTTGTTCCATTGATTCTACGTTCTACCATCGGATTTGGCTGCATAGGTGCCCAAATATAATAACTTCCTCTTGCCATTGAGGCGTTGACATATGCACTAGTGGAAAAGTTTCCTAGGTAGCCTATTTTAATTATTTTTTTTTAGGTATCTTCACTTGATGATGCCCACGATTTTAAAGAAGTACAACAGTCCTTCAAAGCTATCAGTACCTTCGACGACAGCGATATTGATGAGGTCAAGCACTACATTTTTTTCTTTGAAACTTGAAAATGTTCTAGATGTGTTAAACACTGACCTCTTACTAACGTGTAGACTAGTTGAGCTAGTTAATATTCGATGTAAATGGCTCCTACTCGATCTTCGGAAGACACTAATTAAGAAGAGATTAATATCAAATGCTAGCTTTCAACATTGTAAGAGAGTTAACTCTTACTTGGATGGTCCTTGCCCACAAATGCTACTTAAGGATAAAAAGGATAAAGCTCTCGGCGTCGATCAATCCCTGAGGGATGCGCCATGCATTCGACTTCACTAACCATCGTTGGAGGTGATTGAATGCTTATCTAGCCTTTACAATGACTCGCGGTGGCCTACCGATGTATCGAGCCAGTGCTGCTATCCTCTCAGACAAGTCTGATACCAATTTGCCGACCCCGGAGGGATGGAAGGCTTGGTGGGGCATGGGCGCGGGGATCATTTTCACTTGTGTGTTGAAGGGCGACTCCGACCACTGCGCCACACGTGCCCTAAAATGCTACTTAGTGCTGCAAAATTTTTGTCTGAGTGGTGTTTTGTCGGTTAGCAGGATCACTCTCCCTGAGGTTAATTCCTTACTAAGGAGTTTCACTGTCATCTATCACCGAAAGTTCTTCAACAATGAAAAAACGTTTGCGGCATCGCCGTCAGATTTATTTTTAGACCGCAACGGTTTTTGACATTTGTTTACTCTTAGATGGGATTTTGGATAGGAATGTAGGATTCATTCTCGGCTTGAATTACTGTTTCAGGAAGAGAGGTAAATTCACTTAACTTACTGCATCGCAGTATTGCAAGAATATCCGCTTCTAACAGTGATAACCTAAAGCATTGAAGGAAAGCGTTAAACACTGAGGTAAAACCACAACGAAACTGAGATATTCTCAAGACTTGGACGCTAGGATAGATTGAACCACGATTTCTCTTTCCGGGGACTCGCGCATTACATACTGCGCCATGGAGACCCTTGCTCTTCGTTTCTCTCAGCTAATTTTTATCTAACGCTGCCATCAGCAATCATCCATCAGCGCGATTGATCTGGTGAGCTCAAATCGACATTGGACCTAGGGTGTAAGACAGAGGAAAAAGGCTATTACAGAACCAAAATTGATAATGCTCCAAGGTCGGCAAATTCAAATTGTTACCAGACTCGTCTGGCAGGATAAAGCAACACTGACCCGATACATCGATAGGCTATCTCGAGTTGTTTTAAAGGCCAGACATGCACTTAATCACCTCCAAATGATGCTTAATAAGGTTGAATACATGGCGCTTCCCTCCAGCGCTGATCAAAGTTAATAGCTTTTTATCTTTTATCTCACATCAGCACGATATCATGACGCTTTTCAAATTCATGTAAGGGAAATTTTTTTTTAAAATATCATCAAATTCAGACACTTGTTGTGTAAAACCTCATGTCAGCTTACTGAGAGCTGAAAAATGTAGTGGATTGGCAAATATGAGGTAAAACGTAGTTCTCCAGAACTAACCAATATTATATTTTCTTGTCATGGTAGCTCCTCAGTCCTTCCTGTGAATTCGTCATGAGGTTGGCGCAAGAGACCTGTAATCACATAGTAAATAACATTTATTGCTTTAGTTATGGTCGGTGATTGCTGGTGTGCTTCATCTTGGAACCATCACATTTGTCGATTCGGAGACGTCAAACGGTGATTGTCATGTTTCGAACACCGAAGGACTTCAGAAGGCTGCCAGGTGCATGTCGGTTGCGCCGGAGGAATTACAGAAAGCTCTTACTTCACAGGTAAATCAGCTTGTTTGGGATATTTACCTTAATTTTCGGCTAAAGAGTAAATAGTGATTGTAAAACCTTGATTGGAAAGTATGGAGTGACCTAATTTTTCTTTCCATTCATCTCTACCAACCAAAAGGTTGTACGAACTATTACGAAACAACCAAATTTTTTGCCAAAACGCTATAAACGCTATATAGAAATTCTTACATAAGACTATGCGGAAAGGTTCGAACCACTTAACCCGTTGATTTCGTCTGAGTTCTCATCGATGATATTGGCTTGTCTTTAACCTTCTTATCTTCATGGTTTCCATCTTCACCATAAAGTTTTGGATGGGGTTTGCTTTTGTATCTTGACGTCTAACTTTAAAACAATGGGATGAAAACGGATTCTTTTTTCGGTTATGATTCCAGGGGTTTCTAATGCAAAATGGAATCTTGCTCATGCATGGAATGTTTTCAAGGAAGTATAGTGGCGCAGAGAGAGCATGAAATCTTCATTTTACAAAGATAGCCACCACCAGGAATATAAAATATTTCTAGTGTAATCTCGTATTCTATGACAGAACTGTGCACCGTTTGCGCATCTCGACGAGGTGCAGCACATAAATCTCACTATTTTGGTGAGAATCGTCATCATTGAAGGCGCGGACAATCATAGAAGTTGAACCTACTCAATGAGTTCCGTTAGTCGAGTGCGAAATAGATTTCCTTTCATTTCTCTTTTCCAATCGTTTTACATACGAATGAGTATCTTAAATTGATCGTCATTCGATGAGAAGCAAAACCTTTAAAAGGTCGTCTACAAAATCGACTGTTTAGACTAAGAGGATTTTCGAAAAACGAGAAAGTTTTGCCGAAAACGGACTGTTTTACTGTAACAGAAGATGTACAGCTGTCTAAGAGTGTAGGCACATGAAAGTGCTTTTATTTTACTGTAAAACAAAGCCCATCGGTCTTCTGAGTTTCTCGTTTCCTAAAGGAAATTCCAACCCTTGAAATACTACTTCACGCCTTATTACAATATGATTTTAGGTGGTAGCAGCCTGTGGTGATGTGGTGGCAAAAATTCATGATGTAAACGCAGCCCTCTACACGAGAGATGCATTGGCCAAGGTCCTATTCTTCTTTTTATTCATACATATTTGCTAATACCTGCACAGACCTGTTTAAGAATCAGTTCAGAGGAATTCCTTTCATTTATACCACAGCATCAACTTAACTGGGTTTATACCGGTTTGTGCTCCCTAGATCAATCCCGTTGACGGGTGATTGCTGGTAGCGCCTATAGGTCAATAACACGGCGGAGAGACAAACGAAACGAAACACTGGCATGATGTGGTGGTGAACGCGTTAACCCCTGGAAAAGGTGATAGCGTGTTCTGTCTCCATCGCAAACACTAGTGGCCCAGGGTTCTGCAAATATCTTAGCAACATTGTGGTTAAATTTCTTTCATTGTTTTGTGGATTCGTATCCTTCGTAGCACTCCATGTAAGTGACTACGGTAAAACAGTAAAAATAAATCTAAAGCTCTCGGCGTTGATCAATCCCTGAGGAATGCGCCATGCATTTGACTTAATTAAGTTTCGTTATTGGTGATCGAATGCGTATCTGGCCTTTACAATGACTCGCGGTGGCCTACCGATGTATCGAGCCAGTGCTGATATACTCCCAGACAAGTCTGGTACCAATGTACCGACCCCGGAGGGATAAAAGCCTTTGTAGGTCATGGGGGCGGGGATCGATTCCATGTGTGTGTTGCAGCGGCGCCTCCATCCGCTGCGCCACAGGCGCTCTTGCGGTAAGACAGTAATGTAGTAGAAAGGCAGTCCATCCTCTAATGGACTAATTGTTGAAGAGAAACCAGAGAAAAAGAGAAGGGGAAATAAAGAGGAGGAATAGATGATATAGAATACCGTATAGTTACTCATAATAGCCTTGTAATAGTCATCACTGAGCAAAGTTGTTTTCATTGCGGGACCACGTTGATGAAATCGCACCAGTCAATTCGTACATTAAATTGAGTTCATTCTTGCTCTACAGGCCGTCTACGAACGACTATTCTCATGGGTTGTGCAGAAGATTAACGAATCGATATCTTTCAAACAGAATTCTCAATACAACAAAGGAACCGTAATCGGCGTCCTGGATATTTATGGATTTGAAATTTTTGACGTTAATAGGTAAACAGTAATTGGCTCATTACGTTTTATATTTCTTTCCTCACACTGGTTTTTCACGATTCCACAAGTTTTTGAGGTAATAGAAACATTGAACAAAGAGAAAAAAGAGGAAAAGAGACCAGGTGGAAATGAGAAGGAAGGAAACTGTGTTGAGATAAGGGAACACTGGAGGAATTCTGTCAATTTATTATTTATCGTAAAATTTCTCGGTTTCTGAAATGTACTATGTAAAATAGCTTTTGAAAAGAAAGTGGAATAACTCTTTCTACTTCTTTCTCATTCTCGCTGTTTCTCTGTTTTTGTTTGAGTCTTTTTTCCTTCTTCTTCCTGCTTGTTCTAGTGATTTATCCCCGGTAGTCACTTTATTTCTTATAGGTCTCTTTCGTTTTTCTTTCAGTTTTGAGCAACTCTGCATCAATTACTGTAACGAAAAACTACAGCAGCTATTTATCGAACTCGTCTTGAAACAAGAACAGGAGGAATACGAACGAGAAGGAATTAAATGGTCAAAAATCGACTACTTCAACAACAAAGTACGATCGTCGATAGACTCAAATCTCAGTAAAACGTCAAAATGTGATGTCGTTCAGATAATTTGTGATCTGGTTGAAATGCCACGAACCGGAATTCTTTCCGTACTTGACGATGCTTGCGCTTCAGTTGGGAACGTAACCGATCAGGTTGGCTGTTCAGCTTATTCAATCCATAGTCATCATTCCTTGCAAAACTTCTATTAAACTTTTAATCAACTTTAAAAAATATTTAGAAAATAAGGTTTTAAAGTTGGTATTTGGAAGGAAGCAGAAAAAGTGCTGGAAAATTGTGGAAATTGAGCCAATTTTCTGCTGGAATTATACCCTTCGATAGCCCTACTTTCTTCCATTATCTTTTCTTTTCGACTCAGGCTCTATTCCTTTTTCTGACCATTTTGACATTTTGTTTTGTTTTTCTTTTACTAAAATACTTTTTTATAACTGACTATACTTCGATGTTCACCTAATCGTGCCATTGGAGCGATAGATCCTCATGAACTACGGAAATAGTAGAATATCTGAGCTGAATCACAATGATGTTGAGATATTCTCAAACTGTTGATGCCGAGCCAGGTTGAACCACGAATTACCTTTCCGGGACCATTGTGGTTGTAGGTCACATCATACCCTACCGTGAAAAGTTTTAGTAGGCAGAAAATAAAAAGTTGACGTTTTTTAAGCTTATTTATAAAATTATGAAGCGTTTATTGCTCACCTGAATTATTGAATTGTTAAGTGAATTTGCAAATGATTTTAGTAAGGAGTACGGTGGTTTTTTAGGTGTTTCTCAGTGAGTTGGACAAAAATCTTCATTCACACAAGCACTACAGCAGTCGTGGATTGAAACAATCCGACAAAACTGTGAAACACGACGAGTTCAAGTAAGTTTCTGTCATAGAAAAAAAGCTAACGGTCGACTGCTGTTTGGTTGTTTTGTATTGTTTGCAGGTGTTATAACCAGAAAGAAAGTTTGAATAATTATAAGTGACCGTGAAGAAAAATGTACAACAGAAATATAACTGTATTTAAAAACATTTTTTTATTCAATCGATAATGAGATTTTCTTTAGAATTACCCATTACGCCGGTGATGTGGCGTATTCAGTGAATGGATTTATGGATAAGAACAGAGACACGTTGTTTCAGGACCTGAAGAGGCTACTGTATAACAGGTGGGTAACTTTTTAAAAAGCAAAAGTGCAGCAGAGGAGATTTCTTTGCTAGAATGGCTATAGGTCCTGGAAGCAAAAACCAGAGGGTGCTTTCGGTTCAATTTCCTTTTCGTAAAGTCTCTGAAAGATTGTAAAATAGCAAAGAGAATTTTTCAACGTCGTGATGACTTTCGAGCTCTTTTTTAGATAGAAGGTTTTCAAATACTTTTCAAAACTGAGGTTTACATATGAGATCTTAGAAAATTGAAACCTTAGCTTCGGGGTAACCTGTAGAGGTTACGGAGGCCTTTGTTTGAGTGAATTGTATATTCTTTTGAATTTTCCAAGCTCTAAAGAGGGCGAAGTCTATCGAAACCTTAATTGCTGTCAAACAAATATTGTAATAATAATCTATTATTTAACCACAACGATGCTGCGATATTTGCAAAACTCCGGAGGGAGGTGGGCAACGAACGCGCTATTACCCTTTCCGGGGGCTAACGCGCTCACCACCACATCATGCGGGTCCCTCGTTTCGCCTGTCTCTCAGTTTGTTCTATCGATCAGTGCCACCAACAGTTGTATTTCGTATAGTACCCTACCGTGAAAATTGTAGAGGCAGAAAATAAAAAGAATCTCATTCCTGCTCATAAAGAAAACAGTGACTTATTCCCTAGATGTTATTACTTATTCCCTTCCCATTTACAGTGACTTATGGGTTTTGACTTCAAAAAACAAGCGTTAGACTGTTTTCAAGTGGGCTTGTAAGTGACGAATTGAAATAGTGGTATTATTACAAATAGCATCAGTAATCATCTTATTGAGAGAATTTTCAGCAAAAGCCGATTACTTCAGTCGTTATTCCCGGACGGTTCAAAGTCAGTAACTCAAGTGAATCGGCGACCACCAACGGCTGGTTATCTCTTTAAGGTGTTTTCATTTTTATTCTAATAGAAGAAAACACCTGAAAGAGCATGGAATCTGAACATGGCAGGAGGAAATGGTAGGGAAAACTGGTAGTACTGCTCCATTAATGGTTATTTTATTGAGGCAGGTTGAAAATATGAAAAGCGAACGAATGAGGTGGACTTTTCGCTTGATGGTGAAAGTGTAGGATTCTTGTTAAAACACGTTTAAATGTTAAAGTAGAGAAGTCTTACTTTTTACAGAATTCGATGTCGACCTTGGTGGCTCAGTTGGCCAGCAAGGAACCTCATTATATTCGCTGTATTAAACCGAATGAAGAAAAAAGTAGCATTATTTTCGATATGGAACGTGCTGAACATCAAGTGAGTGCCGCCTAAAGGAGGTGTCCCATAAGTTTCGCATCAATCGATATTCTATTTTTTTAAATCAGGTTCGGTATCTTGGTCTTCTGGAAAATATTCGTGTACGACGTGCAGGATTTGCTTTCCGATGCAGCTATGAGCGATTTATCAACAGGTGGAATTAATTGAATTAACCACTGTTTTTAAATTATATTCGCCTAATTTTTCTATTTGGTGCCTAATACAACTTTTCACGGCACTGATCTGCAAAATTCTGGACCGCAGCTGTCTGCGATGGGAAACGAACGCGCTCAACTCAAATCCGGACCACAGGTATCTGCAGTGGTGATCGAACACGGGGTTACCCTCTTCAGAACTAACGCGCTTACCACTACACCATGCGGGTCCTTCGTTTAGCTTGTCTCTTTGCTAGTTTTCTATCAACCAGTGCCACCACACAATTACCCGTATATTCGTTTAGCAAATCCTAAGTCCAACCTTCTATTAACCTCGGTATTGATAGTTAATTCGCTGTTTTCTTGCAAATTACACGTAGGGTTGTTATTGTATATTCTGCTTATCCACAATAGCCTCCTTTGTATTTATCAAGAATTATCAAGTAATATACCGAATTATACCATTTAATTTATTTATATGACCTTGCAGACTGTTCTAGTTGAGCCAATGCGAGGTTAGTGTAGTCTTCGTTGTCGTTGTCGTTGTTGTTGTCGTAGCTATTGCCGTTGTTAGTCGATGGCTGACGTTTCGGCAGTTTCGCCTTTCTTAGAGCCATTCTGTTATGAATGGGGTTTTACAGCTATACCCCTTAATTTTGGTGGTATTTTAATCGCTCTGAATCTGGTTTGCTTTTCATTTGACTCCTGGTTTCATTTCTATAACATTTTACCATTGATTCAAAAGCCCCAAAGGAAATAAAAAAAAACTAAGGAGAGAGAATTTGAATAAAATTAGAGGTGTTATTTTATTTCTTTATTTGCGTGCAAACTGACGTTTCAGCTGATTTCGCCTTCCTCAGAGCCTGGAAAGGTCAAGTTGGCTGCAGTCTACACACCGAAACGTCAGCTTGTACGTAAATAAAAAAATAAAATAACACCTCGTGTTTGATGAACAGAAGTAGAGAGAATTATTTAATCAATGGCGAGGTTAGTAGAAAGTCGGACGTGGGAGTTAAAAATAAAGGCTTCACTAAGTTTCTCCACTGTAATAATTGTTTGTTTAGCATCTACCCCCAATTTTCGTAGGCGAAAGGAAATGAGCGAAAAAATATGTCCTGTGGTGTCCAGAGAGCCTTGGCTTTATCACTGTAGTACAAGAAAACTGACATCCTATGGACAAAGATTTCTGGATAATAACGATTTTCTTTGCAATAGACGAAGTTCAATATAAGCTGAGATTTTGGTTTAACGTAGAAGGCTAACATTTTCCCACCAAGTGCATTGTACACAATGCATCTCAAGCGAAGTGTGTTAGAGTCACAAATCGCATTTATTTTGAGTCATCCACAAGTTTTGTAGTTCTGAAATCACTAAATCACTTTTCATCTTGTTAGCTGTATTTCTGCTGTTCATTATGTAACCGAACTAGTAACGGTAAGGTTTTCATTCGACCCCATCGCGAGTCCGATCTATTCACTTGGCTCCGACCACTCCATGGACATGACGAGGTTAACGCTTTTTGCATGATGCTCTTTATTTTCACCATCTGTGGCAAGAGGGTAACAACGTATAGGTCGAGGACTCCGCCATGGAGGTTGGGTCTTGGGTTGTCTGGTTCTGTTGGAGAGGACAATGATTATTGAGTAGCTCGAGTGAGCACCAGTAGAACGTCTCCTTACCTCTGTGGACTACCAGAAGTGCTTAGTGAGCTCCGCTTACCTTATGAATAAGAACAGAATCACTTCTTTGGTGTGGTGCCTTCTTTCACTGCTCATACCAAGTAAGTGGCCACGAGTGGCCCATTGGACTCTGTCACAGAGTATTAACTTACTTCTTTTTTTCTTATTTGCTATCTTTGGATGAAATCTTCTACCTTTTCATAAGGCGAATTTAAGAAAATCAACGAGGATTTTCATTGCCCGTCCGCCGTCAAATTTACGGTAATAGAAGCAAACATACATTGTAATCACTTTTTATTTACCGCCTATTCTTTTTTCATGGCAGGCTGCGATGTGAAATATAACCACAGTGATGCTGAGATATTTGCAAAACCCCCGACCGCAGGTATCTGTGGTAGGGATCGAGCACGCTGTTACCCTTTCCGCGGGCTAACGCGCTCACCACCACACCAAGCAGTCGGCGTCAGTGAGGTTATCTCACATCATACCCTACTATGAAAAAGGAATAGGCAATTAGTAAAAAGTGATTACAGTGTGATTTATACAACGGCTTCACCTTAACTGGGTTCAACAGCACCTATAGGTTAAAACGTGAACGCGTTAGCCAAGGGAGGGTATAATAGGGTGTTCAATCCCCACCGCAGACACCTGCGGTCCGGAATTTTGCCATTATCTCAACATTGTTATGGTTAAACAAGCGTTTTTAGCAATTCTGTTAATGGGGAGAAAATTGGATGAATTAACAATAAACAGCAATACTATAAGGCAAGCGGTTAGACTTATTTTGTTCAGATACAAACTGTTGTGTCCTCAAACATGGCCGAATCCACGTAATGGATCACCGTGTGAGAACTCGTCCATAATTCTGAAGCAAATTGGGCTCGATGAGGACTGCACTTACGGGAAAACAAAGGTCGGTCTATAGTACGCAGCATGTCATACTTTCTAACTGTGCCCTATCCCTTAAAAATGATTCATTTGCTTGATTTTTCACCTAACCAACTAAAAATGTGAGAATTTAGTTTGATGCTCAATTGCCGAGGACCGATATTGATAGAGTTTTTGGAAACCAGTCTATTTGAGGTGTTCATTCGAAATCCAAGAACTGTTTTTCGACTTGAAGAGTTACGAAGTCAAAAACTTCCAGAAGTTGTCGTCTTCTTGCAAAAAGTGAGTTTCTCTAGCGGATTTAGTAATTTTATTTCTTTTGTGGGTAGTAAATAAAAAGGTTAAAGCTCTCGGCGTTAAGCAATCCCTTAGGGATGCGTCACGCATTCGACTTCATTAAGTGTTATTCGGAGGTGATTGAATGCATATCTGGTTTTAACAACGATTTGTGTGGGCCTGCCGTTGCATCGAGCCAGTGCTGCTATCCTGCCAGGCAAGTCTGACACCAGTTTGCCGACCCAGGTGGCATGGAAGGCTTGGTGGGCCCATGGGTTCTGGGATAAATTCCACGTGTGTGTTGCAGACGACTGCGCAACATACGCCCTTGTGAGTAGTATTGACAACCAATTGTCTTCTCTTTCTGATTGTAACAAAGATAGACAAAATGAACCCACGTAACATGTGAATTGGCTGGTTTTCGGCTCTATGATATCAAACGGGTTTTAGTCGACAATGATTAGGGGGAGGAAAGGTATTAATCCCGACAAACTTCGATGTACGATGAATGAATAGGGTAAATTTGGAAGTCTTAACCGTTTTACTTACTGGCTACTTTTTTTAATGGCAGGTATATTACCAAATATAACTTCAATGATGCTGAGATACTTGCAAAACTCCGGACCGCAAATGTCTGCGGTGGGAAACGAACGCGTTATTGTCCTTTCCCGGTAGTACCACCACACCATTCGGGTCCTTCATTTCGCCTGTTTCTCAGCCAGTTCTATCGATCTCTGCCATCAGCAATCACCCGGAAAGGGCAATAGCGCGTTCGTTTCCCACGGCAGACACTTGCGGTCCGGGGTTTTGCAAATATCACACCGTCATTGAAGTTAAATTTGCGAAATACAAGTGTTTGTGTCCAGAATTTTACATGGGATCAGACCATCTCCTCCCCACACAAAGCTCCTTTTTACAGAAAAGGAAGAGGAAATCCGAAAACCACTATAAATTACGGTTTTTTTAAAATGTGTTTAGCCTGATTTTGAAAAAACACCGTTATCGAAAACTTGGATGGCTATTGCGATTGTTTAACCCGTACCTTCACCCTAGTACTAAAAAGTCGAAGATTAAAAAGTTGCTACGAGATGTCCATATAGAGAGATATTCGAGCTGGTACGTCAATGCGCAATCTCACGATTTGTAAACAACCACATAAGTCCGAATTTGCAATGTACCTGAGGTAAACGATGAAACATCATCTTAAAGGAAGAAGCATAGCCGCACCGGATGAAGCTACAAAGGTTTAAGAGATCAGTAGCGACTCCCGTCAAGGCTATTTCTCCACTTACTGCTTTCATGAAGGGAATGAGAAAACCTACTCCTATTTCTTCGACAGCCAAATCCACATGCCTCAATATTAGGCTACTGAGTATGGATATGTCTTGTCAACAATTCTCTTTCGACCTCCTCTGTTTCTTAGTAGGAAGTTGTACAACACTTCGTCTAGCTAAGACTAGAATCGAATATTTGAATAACCTACTGCCACTCCCAATCAGTAAACTAGCTCAGTTTTTCACATATTTCGCTTGCTTAATGGAAAGCTCCAAATCAATGAAAAATCAACTGGAGAGTGTTTTGACAAAAGCGAAAGACGCTGACAATATCAGCGACTATTGCCCACCTGCCGTCGTTCGTCAGTGATTTCTAAATAGTCGAGTCTACTTCAACAGGATGTTTCCCCTTCTGGATTAGATTTTGAAACGATTTCTGACGCAAATAGAACAGATAGCTTACAACAGCATGGATAATATTTTGAAGAGAACAAAAAACAGCCAGATCAATGCCCCTCCACCATTTTCCATATCGTAACACATAACACTATTAAGTGGGTGGTACTAGGAGTAGGAGCGAGTGAGAGACGTCATCCGAAGTCTTAGTTTCCGCTGACGGCCGAAAATCCGCCATGCCATTATGTCAGAAATCAGTTGGGACCAAGTTGAGAAAAACGGTGCATCTTAACGGTAACAAGGGCGAGCAAGTGCTTTTAGCGATTGCACTGTACTGGATCAAGCGGAGAGCAGGAAGAGCACGGACCCTATAATAAGCTTAGTGGAAATGACCTATAACTCCTATATAACCTGTATCACCTGTTATAACGTTGATCGTCGAGTGACTCGAGCGAAGCCAGTAAATCTTCCATTTATTCCCTGTCGTGTGCAAGAGTAGCCCAGTGGGTTCTGCTCGCTCTAGGGACTCGTTGGGCATCATATCTTTCTTCTAGGCTTTATGTAAAGATCTCTGACCATCGAGTCGGTGGTCTTCCTGCAGTGTGTTTGACATCCAGAGGAATCCAGTCACTAACGTCTCTTGTCCATCGGTTATCGCTCATATGCATTACGTGACCGCCCCATCTGATCTTCGACTGCTTGTCATACAGAACCCCATCTTTGAGTTTTGATCGTTGACGCAAGTCGGAGATTCGGATGCCTTCCTTTAATTGCGTGACACGGGATACTCTTAGCATCGTCCTTTCGACTGCACGTTCAATAACACTCAGTGATCTTTCATATTGCTTAAGCAGCGACCAAGCTTCTGACGAATACGTCAAGGCAGGAATTATCGTGCAGTCGAAAGGGTTGGTATAGATTAGGGTGTTCTTTGCTTTCCTCACTACACCCTTGTGGCTCTTTAAAGCTCCCAAAGCCTCTCACTTTCTTCTTCTCAACTCTGGAGCCAACTAGTAAATTACGTTTTCTGCTCGACCTAAATGGGCGTAGCTGAAGGATTTGGAAATATTCAATCCGTTGAGCGTTAATTGTGCATACAAAATCAGTCTGTTCCTCATGAGCATCGTTTCTGTGAGAATTAATTGATGACTAATCTTTCTATAGGCTCTGCGGAAGTGAGGAAGCATTCGTTCCGTTTGGCCAACGTTTGATGTTATAAGAACGATGTCGTGGGCTAAATGAAGATGATGTAATTGCCGACCGTTATTTCTAACTTCGTTAAGCATCGTTAGAGGTGGCTTAATGCATATTTATCCTATGAAATGACTTGTGGTGGCCTGTCGATGTATCAAGTTAGACAAGCATGGCTCCAGCTAAAGCTTGTGGTTTGTGCTGGACGTGGAGTCGAACCAAAGACGTGTATTGCAAGACATCTCTAACCTCTGCAGTACATTCCCCTTTAGTGCAATGAATACATAACAACAACGTTTGGGCCATATACTACTCAACTGCCACTGTGCCATAGGATTCCTTATCAGGATTTTCGTCAGTTCTAAGAACTCCTGTATAAATCATGTAGATGACTAGAATCAATTGAACGTGCTAAGTACTACCTTTTTTCCGTCCACTTTAACTCTTTCCTCGATATATGGGGAAGAAGTAGCTTCGAAGAAACAAAAGGAGTGGTTTTCAAGACTCGATGAAAAAATATTACTAATTCTTTTTAGATGTTTCGCGGTGCAATTGCTAGGCGACGATATAAACGGACAAAGGCCGTCTACAAAATCATGGCCGCCTATAAGCGCTTCAAGCTTCGCAGTTACATCATCTACGTCATTGATTTATTCCGGTTTGTTCTTGATACCATGCACCTGCAAAAAATTACTGTAGCTGAACGAATTAAACTGCAGTAGAATGGAACCAAGTATCTATTTACCATGTACACAACATGTTTCACTACACGAACTATACCGTACCCTTAAAATGCGCCGTCATAGTCGTTCAAATGAAAGGATGAAGGATAAAGCTCTCAGCGTTGAACAATCCCTGAGGGATGTGTCATGCACTCCACTTCATTGAGCATCGTTCGGAGGTGATTAAATACATATGTGGCCTTTACAATGACTCGCAGTGGCCTAGTGATGTATCGAGTCAGTGCTGTCATCCTTCTAGGCAAACGTGGTGCCAATTTTCCGACCTCGGAAGGATGGAAGACTTGGTGGGCCATGGGCGCAGGGTTCGATTCCACGTGTGTGTTGCAGGCCGCCTCCGACTGCTGCCTTATTATCGCTGGCCTACTTGCAATCTTTTAATCTGTTTTGTCATTTAATATTAAAGGACATAGCCTTTCCATATTCGTTTTTCGCCACTTAGTGAAAGCTATTGGGAAGAATCTAGTGAAGGCGATACTTCCGCCGTAAGGCGTTATATTTATTGGTTCACTCGCAGTATTGATGGAATAATTGACAAAGCTCAAATGTGATTGAAAGTCGAAATGAGTCGTTTATGTGCCATTTTTTCCATATCGGCATTTTTTTTTGAACAGGCAAGTAAAGGGCTATGGGATATGATGAAGTGGAGAATAAAAAATCACGAGCAATTTCAATACAACTTCGAAAACATCTTCACCATCTCATAGAAAGTATTGAGAAACACTCTAAATTTTTTCTTCGTCATCGTTAGCATAGTTATTCGTACATTTCAGAGGTGTACGACAAATGCTCGATCTCGGTAAAAACATCCGCTGGCCGGCACCACCAATTGTATTGGCCCCCTTTGTCACCAAACTCCGTGTTGTTCATCAACGATGGCGTGCGGCTACGATACTTGCCACAGTGCCACAACATTTACGGTACTTCTCAGGATTCTTACTAATATTTCCAAAAAAAAATTAATGTAATAGTTTCCCTCTCGTCTCGCCCTCATTGTTTCTACGTATGTTCCTGGATGTCGAACTGCGATGCATGCCGTCGGTTCATCCTCTAGAATTTCCTATACTGAGAAAGAATTCAATATTCCGATCCGGAAATGCAGCTGAGAGTAAATCAGTGCCAGTAATCATCACCGGCTCTGTGACGAGGTAATCATAAGGTGGGCGATCTCTTCTTGATTCTAAAGGATTGGTTAGTGGTTTTCGTGACGATGTGAGAATGTCCTAACAGTGCTATTTCGGGGGCTCATGAAAAGGACACGTTGCCCGATCAGCAAATTACCAGTTCGGTTGAAATTGTGATGTGTTCCTCACGACTCTTCAAGATCAGCCATTTAAGTAGTTATTAAAATATACTACCCAGGACTTATACCTTTATAAAGCTAATTTCCCAAGTATTGTTATCCTTAAGTTTTTAGGTAGCGCGTCCTCACATGAAATGTTCACGAAAGCAGTTCTCGTATTCGTTTTTCTGCTTACCATTGTCATCCGTAGACGTAGTTGAATCCGCAATCGGAATTGATGGCTTCTCTGTCATCTGTCCTGTTATTATTTTAGTCATTGAAATGTTCGCAGAGCGTTGCCTTGTGTTCCTTTCCTCACTGAAATGGTAGTCAATCGTTGTTCTTCTTGGAATCTTCAAATCAACACGCTACAGCATTTCCACTTTTTAGCCGCAGACCTTCATCGCACCTCATTGTTATTTGTTAAAGCTGGAAATAGAATTGCCTTCTGTTCAAATTCAATCATACTTTCTATATTCTGGCTTGCTGAACTCTCTTATCAGCAACCTCAGATTTCTATTTTTTGGCAAGGATAAAGAATGAGATGATCGGCACCGATCGTTCTCCTACGTATGCGTTGTTATCCATCAACTGTCTATTAAGCACCGTAGAGATGACTGAATGCATATTTGACATATACATTTACCTTGAGACTACCCATGCGTGAATTCCACATCTTGATCTTCCCGGAGAAATCTTTTTAACGCTTTGCCTATCCCATATGAATTAGGTGATTCAATTCCGCGGGGCACGCGTACATTCCGGGGCGTACAGTCGTACTTGTGTGTATTGTAGCGACCCTCTAGCCACTGTGCTACACACTTTTTTGGTCCCTAATGTCTTGTGAATATTGGTAAGTATCAAACATTGCAATTAGATTTTTAATAGATTCCTTTCATTTTAGAGAGTCTTTACCTGAAAAACTCGCCGCATTCGGGGCTTTAAATGGTAAGCGTGAGCGCTGGGGTTATTCACAATCGTGGAAAGGCGATTATTTGGCGCTGGTAAGAAGATTTTACTTATTGTAGTGTTTTTATTCCTCCTAGTGTTTTGCTTTTTTTTTAGAACTATTAATCATTTTTGATCACTTTTTCTATGCTCCTTCACTTTAAAGAAGTGTACTTTTTTGAAACTAATTCCCTCTCCTGGACTTTCTTCTCTTGTCAGTCTCCATTCCAGAAAGTTTGATTTTAGTGTTAGGCAACCACACTCCACATTTTTTCGATTATCGACATTTTGTTACTTTTTATTAATGGGAAAAATTTTAGAGTGATGAACCCAGCTACAATCCGTTAAACTATTGTGATGCAACTGCAGCTCTTCGTAAAACTCATCCGTACACAAAAGTTCTTTTCAGCACCTTTTTTCAGGTAAAAATCCAGTTCTAGTAAAGAATCTTTATAGAAATTATTGATAAGAAGCTTTGTTTCCTTACTTTTGAACTTTTTTAAAGGAATAAAAATAATAAATAACTGAAAAAAGGACAAAGATCTTGGCACTGATCAATCCTGAGGAATGCGCCATTCATTCCACTTCATTAAGCATCGTTTGGGGGTGACTGAATGCATATCTGGCCATTACAATGATTCGCGTTAGCCTACCGATGTATCGAGCCAGTACTGCTATCCTCCCTGACAAGTATGGTACCAATTGGCGGACTCCGGAGGGATGGAAAGCTTGGTGAACCATGTGGGATCAATTCCACGTGTGTGTTGCAGGGCTCTTCCTACCACTGCGCCACACGCGCCCTTTCAAAAACTAGTGAAACTGAAAGGCCTAAAAATGCCACTTTACCATAGACTATCATGCTGATTATCACTGATAAACAGTGAATATTTCCGAAAACGCTTACTTCCTATGAAAAGCACAATTTGTAAGCTCTAAATATAGTGAGATAATCCGACTGGCTGACGGTACTTTTTCTACGGATTTTCCTAATTACTACCTTAGCTGGTATGACTGAGAAAATGAAAATATTGAAAATTTGAAGAAGAAGACGACTTTACAATAGTCATGATGATTTCCTTTTCCCTAAATAATCATTATAGAAATTCAATCGATTCAACAAGTCTTCGTTGCGAGTGCTGGTTGTCACCGATAAGTACATCGCTAAACTTGACGCGATTAAATTCAAACTACTTAAATCAGTTATTCCATTGCAAAATGTAAGTTGTTTTTCGTATTTAAACGTTGTTTAAAGTAGCTCCTCGCTATTGTTTGGTCTATCTACGCCTTATTTATCTATGACGTCATTGCGGGCTTTCTGCGTGTGGCGGAAACACCGCCGTTTCCAAAGAACAGCCTGCTGCCAATCGATGTGTATGATAAGCGTTACGGATTTTAAAGAGCATTTGATTTATTACTTTATTATGTGATTTATACTGCAACTCGGAAAGTGGTTAAGACTATTTCCACTGAGCAGCGCTCATCCAATATTTGCAACGTTTATGTTATCTACGTTTTTATGTCTACCGTTTCTATTTCATGCTTGGTAATTTTTTCGATTCTAAGGTGCTTTAGTGTGATATTTGCCAGATTTACACCGATTTGATAGAAGTGGGTTGAAATGAAAGCCCGTAGACGATCAAGACATCAATCGATAGCTACGGGCTTGCTGTGAAAACGAGGAAAATCTGAGCGGGCACTAAAAAAATTATGAATAATACTTGGATACTTAGACTCCCTGTCCTCACTAATTGTGCGAGTGTCAGCATATTTCCCATTTTTCGCAGTTTTGCAGGTTTAGCTGTTGTTTCCCTGGTGTGCCGAGGTCAACCAAGCCAAGGACTGCCACAGGTCGTCACCACCCCAAGCAGTGGTGACCCTTGTGGATCAGAGGGACGTTCGCCACCATGCGACTAGTTTGCTACCAGGACAGTGGTGGATCCTGGTATCGGTTTACCCTTAGCTGGGCTTCCTGTTGGTAACGTCGGACTTCTTCTCAGCTTGGAGGACCCTGCCCGAGGATGAATCTTCCCGCTGACCTATGATGAGGTGGTAAACCGTTGGGTGGTGGATTATGAATAATAAAGAGATAAATTCATGAGTGCAATAAAGGCAAATAGCATGAGGTTCTTTCCATCAAAGAACGTAGCGCGTGTGAATTTGAGGTGTCGTAAAATCCTCTAGAAAGGAAGAAGCTCACTACCGCTTATTGAATGCTGAAAATGAATTATTTACATCCATAGATCGATAAGCTAGTGCAAACATAAATGGATTGTAACGACTTATGGATTTATCGAAATTCTTCAGGATTCAGAAGCAACTGCTTTCCTTTACTGCTTCTGACGATAAAGAATAGCGTCTAAATTCAGATCTTTCGACTATCTCTGTGCCCGGAACCGAATGGACTTTTTGTGATACACATCGCCGACAACGACATCATTGGTTGTTTGAAGAACGGCCGAGAAGAAGAGCGAGTAGGAGAGATGGTTGGCACCCTCCTGGCTCAGTATGAGAGGTAGTGTAGGTGTTCCGCATTTTGAAGGTCGCCTCTAAAGCAATCAGAGCGATTATGAATGGAAAAAGCAAAAAAAGGAAAAAATAGCGGAAATAAAACCGAATAATATAATGACAGAGGAATTCCACTGGATTTCCCATATTTTTTTCGACTTTTTGTTTGAATTCCGTTCGCCCCAAGACTATTTCTAAACGATCCGACGTCGGTTCGTTGTTTCTCATTCATCGAACCAAAATTGCTCGAATTTATATATGATTTCATCTACTGTTTGGGGATTTGGCCTTCTTCATGAATGTCATTCAAATCTGGTGGAGCGAACTATCCCTGAAATAGTTCCCAGGATCGACTTTCTCTTAACCTCGGCGTTGGAATATGAATGTGTCGTTTTCTTGTTCAGCAATCGCGAGGTTTTTAAACAGCATACATTTACTTCCATAAAAACACAATACAATACAACGCTAGCTGACATTTCGGCAGTATCGCCTTCTTCAGAGCCTGGAAGGGTATACTGATATACAATCTACTAGGCCAAACGCTTCAATGACGCTTACACAAAGACGAAAGACTCTTTGGTAATTACACGATCAACAACTTCACGAAAAACCCACCACTTTTTCGTGACTTCCAATGAGGAAGTTTAGAACAGCTGATTATAGTCGCATGTGGTTGACGACTGCACCATCCCACATCAAAAATCGATGCGAACGTACGGGATCAGGTCGCGTATGACCTCCGGGCATTCGTCCCTGCTATTCATTGTAGGGTTTTTGGCATTGATCCAAAAAGCCTCTAGGAGGTTTCGCGCTGGTGTTTTGGACTCTTGTGCAAGGATATTGACTTTCACTTCAAAACCGTCTCCGCTATGCTTTTGTATCCTATGCGTGCCTAGTGGGGTGCTTCGTCTTAGTTTTCGTTTGCCATCTAGGTGTTCTTTTATACGGATACACAAAGGTCTGCCCGTTTCGCCAATATATTCATCCCCGCAATTGTTACAAGAGATCAGGTATATCGTACCTGAACTCATGCAATCACCGTCCCTGCCGTAAGGGCAAATTACGCAATTTGTTGTTTCACACAGACGGTCATACAGGCGGTTGCGAACTAATTGGCGACGTAGAGTAGTCGGTGGTATTTCAACTATCGCTACCGATTCCTCTAGACCTGCCCTTCTTAAGCATCGTTTTATAGCTGCGTTTACTTCGTCGCTTATAAAAGGCAACATAAACGGGATTTTGTTCTGGCCAAGTGTTTCGCGTGGGCGCGTCGTTCTCCTTGTAAACTCATCTCGTGGGGTTTCTATTTCGTAGCCATTGGAGATGGCTATTTGCCGGGCCAAGTCGCGCGATTCTTCCTTTAGTTCCCTGGTAGTGCACACAGAGGTGGCTGTTCGAAACATGTTTCTCACAATCGCCCTCTTTGTGTGTGAAGGGTGGGAAGAAAGGAAATGAACGAAGATGTTCTTGTTACTTGGCTTTCGATACCACTTTGTCAGGTAACCGCTACTTGATAGGTTTATTTGGACGTCCAAGAACGGAAGCCAGTTTTCTCTCGGTTTCTCCCGGGTGAACTTTATGTACTCGGACTGCTCGTTTAATAATTTGAAGCATTTGTCCATCTCCTCCTGCGTAGAGAAGACGACAAAACAATCATCTACATATCTGCAGTAGAGTAGTGGTAGATTGTATATCAGTATACCCTTCCAGGCTCTGAAGAAGGCGATACTGCCGAAACGTCAGCTAGCGTTGTATTGTATTGTGTTTTTATGGAAGTAAATGTATGCTGTTTAAAAACCTCGCGATTGCTGAACAAGAAAACGACACATTCATATCCCTGAAATCTTGGGATAACCCTACTACAGCGGGGTAACCCCCTACTAACCCTACCTCACATGCTCACAACAAGTGGTTATCGTCCTTTCTGGATCGGATGAAGTTTTTCCTTTAGTGCGATATCAGGTTGACGCCCAATGGAATGAATGAAAGTTTTCCTTAGCTGGAAGCTGGATCGAAGCAGGGACCACGCATGAAACTTCGAAAACAGTAATTCGTTGTTGTCTTGAAAAGCACACCCAAGGTTGTTGTTCATGGTATTTGTTGGCAGTGGCTAAAGTTTATGCTTGTTTCGCCTTTTCACAATCTGGAAAGCTTAAGATAACTGGTTAGGTTAGCTCCATTACCTCAATAGCCACCATATCTAAATTTCAATTGCATTGGAAACAAAAGAGTTTCTCCACGAACTCACCGCCTGTGAGTCTTTCGCGGAGTTTTCCAAGTGGGGACGACCGTAGAGAGTTCATATGGACGAGGAGCGTGCCTCGCTCACGTTAATTTATTATTCTAAAATATTCTTTGGGTCACGCGTGATGACGAGGTATTCTCTGCAGTTCATTTTTGGATTCTTGAGGCGAATGGGTCAGGAATTTTACGCGAGTTCGAGAACAGTAATTCTTCTTATGGTTATGCGATTCATTCAACCTATCATTTTTCATAGTCGTTATTCTGTCAATATTTTTCTCATATGTTTCATTTGGACCACATTTATTCATAAATGAATCGAATTTCATGAGCATCAATCCAGCGACTTTAGAATGAATATGCGACCACCCACGGTGATTGTCGCCCCGTCATTAAGCGTTTGCCTTGGCGGAAAAACTCGTGCTGTTCGAATATTTCCAGCTGATCCCACCCAACAAGCTGTCTTCAAGAAAAACGGTAACGATGTCGACCTTATATGTCATAATATGACAGCTGTTTAATCTATTTAGCCATTTTTTCTGATGTTTGAAGAGCTTCTGTCACTCAAAACCTCGCATTATTTTGTAAAATTCGAAAATCTTCCACCTATGTCGATTGTATAAACTTAGGGCATCATGTAGTTATATTTTTCTTTCATAGATGAGACGTTTGCAATCTGGAATCAGGCTAATCACTTCTCACCGATCGATATGATCGTGTTCACTTCATTTTTCTTCTTTATCGTTTTTGACGGCTCTGGGTCTATGAGACTTCATGTGCCAAGCCTATAAATGTTGTTCAAATCGCAGAGCATTCTCAAGTGCCCTACATTCTTCGCACGAATGGTTTTCACTATCGCCATGAAAACTACAGAAGATGCTATTACAGCATATACTAACATATACTAACTTTGTAAATTGATTGTTTTGTCTAGTCGTTCGCTTAACACTCTGGTTGTTAATAAAAAGTCACTTCGATATTGTTTTAATAAAGCCTTTGTAAATAGATTTTTTACAGAGACTACAAATTGAACAAAGATACATTCATTCTAATAGCCACGGTATCGCGATGCGCGTAGCGCAGTGGCTAGATGTGTCCTGCAATACACATATTGGACACTACTTTTGCGTGGTACAAGACTAATCGAGCTTCCCATCACTCTGAAATCAACACATCGGCAAAGATTCTGATTCTGGGTTGAGTCGCTTTCTCATCTGATACCTAAGACATTGATAAAAATATACCGAAAGGTTAAATTACTCCTAGCTGGGAACTCCTTGGGGAAGTTTCGGTGTTTCTTCTTCCTCTGGCAAAAATTTATTGCTACTTGCCCAATGAGAAGTTGCCATATGGCCTTTAAATTTGTGTTAGTAACCTGATTACTTGCTCAGATGGCCTATTTTCACGTGCCTTAAAAGTCCAAGCACTTGTTCTATACATTTCGTTGTCCTGGAACTGCCATGTAAAGAGGTGGTCCTGATTCGAGACCAGGTTCAGCTGGAAATTGAGAATGTCTGGATTCCTTCACAGGTGACATGTCGAATACTGGTTGAGCACGATGTCCCCTGGAAACCCTTGATACCTGCATTAGGGTGCCCTCGAAATAGTATCGGAAGAAGATGCCAGCTCCTGTGAAGTAAAAGGTTTATTAACTTACGATCTTCTAGAAAGACGACGATTCCTGCGAAAGACACGAATTCTGTGATTAGTGGATTGATGAAGACGAAGTAACAAGTAGAGTTGCCCTAAGAGGATCCTAGTCGTAAGGCAACAAACGTTTTTCCGATCCACAGTGGTGGTGACTGGCTGTATGGAATTCGTTCGAAGACTTTGGAGCGATTATCTCACAATTCTTTAAGAAACCATGCTTGAGCAGTATTCAACATCTACAGAGAGGGCACATCACTGACACTAAGCGGCAATGATGCTTCTGCTCTATATCATAGAGACTACTTCTTATTCACTTTTTGCCTATTAGGATGCTCCGAGATCAATGTACGATTTTATTTTCCAGGTATTTGGCACTGGCACATTTTATTGTGGGCCACGATGAAGCTGCATTTCCTTCTGCATTTGGAAGCACTTTTCAATCCTATGTTGGGTGCATTCATGCACTTTTTACATTGTCTATTTCGTAAGATAACCCTGATTTGGGTTCGAAGTATCCTGAAATACACATGTTGTCACTGGTTTGATTCGGGCGCATCATGTCTTCCAGCCACAGTCGGCATAGCGGTACAAGACTTGGTTTGAGGGAAGCAGCACTGCGCCGATACATCGCTAGGCCACCGAAAGTCATTGTATAGGCCAGATATGCTTCCACTCACTTCTAACAACGCTTGATGAAATCGAATGCAAGGGGCCTCCCTTAGGGAATGATCAACCCCGAACGTTTTACTCGTCTTCTTCTAACAATGGTTCACAACTTGGCAACAGTTTCTTCCTCGAATGCCGTACCATTATATATAATTGCAAACCTCATACTGTGCACTTTCGCTCCCTATAACTAAATTGTAATATATTGTCTTATTTTGACAAATTTTAAAGGCTAGAACTTCAGATGTTGACAAATCTATTTGCACGAATTGAAACTGGGAGTTACGCAGCGCGAATGGTTCGTAGCATCAATAAGCTATGGGCTGAAGTAAGTGTTAGCGAGAGCACAGTGCAATGTTAGTCTGGAACATTTCGTCGTACCGAATCCGACCTTGAAGATGAGAGGAGTCGCGGATGTCCTTCTGCAATTGATCACAGAAATGGAAGGCTTTCCTGTAAGCAAATAAACGCCACAAGTTTTCTGCGAGCTGCTTCACTACATTGGATTCGACTCTACGAGGCAACAAAGACCAACAGTGCAAATACGAGCTGCCGTGGATAATCGACTGAAACTAACCTGTCTCTGAGGAACGCGAAAGCGCCGAAACTTTAGCCGAATAAAACCTCTTACCAGCTGCATGCTCACTTAATAATTCAGGAAAAGAAAGACACAACTGTTCGAATGCTTACAAAGGTAAGCGTAAGCATATCAACTGTTTTAGATAATCCAAAGATAAATGGGAAGCCAAGAACCTCGAATAATGGAGGCAGCATGAGTAGAAAGACGACAGAAAATTGCCGTTTTAAGGTATCGTCGGCGCTTCTCCTGCGCCACCGGAACGATCCGCTCTCGCCATATCGTGGCATGCGACAAGAAATAGATCTCCTACGAGAAGCGATGAAGATTGGCTCAATGATAAGACCGAGATGACGCTCTGCAGCACTTTTCACAGTCGAAATTGCACCAAAAGACGACGTTCTAGCCGCTTGGTGGTGCACCGCTAATTTGAATCATCACGGCTTCCTGAATTATTGTGAAATGATAACGCCAGAAAAGCATATAGAAAGAAAAACCCCGACATGTATCAGAATCTTCAACGACTGCGCGTTGCATTTGTCAACGGGCGGAAACAAATCTTTCTGGACGATGACTCGTTGCAACGTGTCATTCAACGGACCCTGCAAAAGTCGAACGAGCAGGGCTACGAAACTCTGTCAATGTGTCAGATTCGGTTGACCTCTTACCACCGTCTACCAATTAATCAAATATCTCGACATATTTTCATGTGAGAAATACTTCAGAAACAAAGCCGCTACCGAAACTGGATTTAACGACTTCATCACCTCCAGATATCGAGAGTTTTACGGGGTATAAAAATACTTATTTCTCGTTGGTTAAAATGTGTCGATCCAGATCCTAACGTTTTTTTGTTGATTAATAAAGTTCAGCAGCTGCCGAAACAATATGCGAAAAGCTTGAAGACCTTCGTGGACAAATACCAGAAGAACGAACCGAGTGCTAGCAGTGCTGGGATCCGTCCAGTACATGTGATGACGGGTTATGTAAATAATGCAATGAGCAAAGTTTATCCCAAGGTGAGATATTCCACTTTGAAAATGCAGGTCCATACAGGACGTAGATTTCCGAAGAATCGGATACAACACGAGATCAGTCTTTCTAGGCCTTGACGTTCTAATCTTCTCGATGCCGCTGACGTCATGAAATATACAGGTGGTTTCCTTTCAACAAAATAATAATAAGAACACTCAGATTACAAATCGTGAGACCTTCATTGTCCTGTCCTGCATGACTTCGTGGTAGCTAATGTTGGTGACTTCGGGGTCCATTTACAAAGTTCTCAACTCCCATGCAATTATTTAGCTAAGCTTAGCTCGATGCCTTGAACTTCTTCACCAAAAAGAGCTTGCTATAAGCATTTGAGGAACCAACTATGTGAAAATTTATCACTATTTATTATTTACATTATTATTGTTATTTTATTATTAATTCGGATTAATTTACCTAATTTTTGATTTCATTATTATTTATTATTTATTAAGAAAAGATAAAGGGTGCAGCGCGTGGCATTAATCTATCTCTAATTGATACACTATGTATTCGACTTCACTAACAATCGTTTGAGATGGTTTAGTGCACACCTGGGCTCTATGCAATAACCTACTGTACGGTAGAGAACCGATTTGTCAAGTCAATAACGCTGCCCAGCCAGACAGATCCGGTAGCAATTATTGACACTAGCGGTATGACCACTTTGGTGTGCTCGGGGCGCAGGATCGAACCACTGACCACGTGTACATAGTTGAGACCTTAACCCATTGTGCTGGACATGTCCTATTAACATGTCAGATAGCCCACCGATAAGAAATGCTCTTCAAAAAAAATGTTTTTGTTGTGGGTGATATCAACTGATGATGACAGCAGAAATGGAGCAGGCAGATTTCATATTCCTATGAACTGCATCCGTGTAAATTGGACATGAAGTCTATTTGACATTGGCGTCGTTACATCTTTTGCATGATGCCAGATAACTACCCATTACAAAAGTGATTTTAGCCATAAAAAGAAAAAAATCAATTATCATGCCACAAACAGTGTACGAAGAAGGCATTGATTCCGTTTCAACACAGATCGAACGAGTAGCCATTAAAAGGGTTCGTAGAAAGACGTCATAAAAAAACCATTTTTTAGATTATCATTCACCATAAAAAAACATTTAGCGAGTCCGACCCGCCATGCTTTGGAATGCAAAACAAAAACGGAAAAGTAATATGATGTATCGAGACCTTCATGAATACAATATTCCACTTTTTCCTTATCCCAACGATGACGAGTCAGCCACAAATTTTCATCACACGATGGAATCGATAGCATAGAGATTTTATACGAATCTTTTCCGAGCGCCAAATCTACGTACAGATTTTCTTCAATCTCACTAAAACAACAGCATTAACGAACCCGACCGTAAATGTTCGCACTTCTGAAAAAAAAAGTGTGAGCGGGCGCGTGTGGTGCAGTGATTGGAGGCGCCGTTGCGGCACGCACGAATTGATCTCCGCGCCCGTGGCTCACTAAGCCTTCTATCCATCCGGGGTCGGCAAATTGGTACCAGACCTATCTGGGAGGATAGCAGCACTGGCTCGATACATCGTTAGGCCACCGTGAGTCAACGTAAAGGCCAGATAT